GAGGAGGGGGAAATGAGCAAGTGATATTAAGGGCTGAGGTGGAGGGCAAATGTTTTGAGAATGATGAGGGCAGCGAATGTACATAAACGCTTGACACAATGGATGGATGCATGGATTGTGATGAGAATTGTACGAGCCCCCAATAAAATAATTTTTTAAAAAAGCCTTCAAGAACCATTCTAAAACTATTTATTTTATAAATAACTCAGACTAAAAAAAAACTCAGACTAAATACTATACTTACAAGTGAAGTGTCAACATGTATACAAACCAACCATGCTTACTGCCTTCGAGTGGGTTTCTGAGACTGCTAGGCTTTACAGGAATAGACAGCCTCCTCTTTCTCCCGAGGGGCAACTGTGGGTTGTAACTGCTGACCTTGCGATTAGCAGCCCAATGTGTAACCCATTATGCCACCATGGCTCCTTGTATTTATAGTATAAAAATATTAATTTGTATATATTTGTACTTAACATTGTATATACTAAAAAATGTTCTATGTTTTTCTAGGCTCATTGCAAAAATAAATTTTTTATTTCTCATTTTATCAGTGCTCTAAAGAAAAATTCAAAACAAAGTGCATAACTGGTGAGTCTGTTCAAATAATGCCACTCCCTACCACTGAAATGGTTCTGACAGAAGCCCTATAGTCAAAGTAGGGTTTCTAGCACTGCAACCTTTGCTGAAGCAGACTGCCATATCTTTCTCCAAAGGAGAGGCTTGCAAGTGTCAACCTCTGACCTTTCAGTTAATAGACAGGCACATAACTACTGCACCACCAGAGATCCTTTGACCATATCTCTAGTACGCAGAAGTCAACTGAATGTCCCAATTCCAAACAATGTTTTAGACTTTCCTGAGAAAAAATTTACCATTAAAGATGAATCCTTAGGAATAAATCTCTTTACCTCTAAATTTAAGTCAACTCATTTTCTCTCAAAAACTTTATTTCAGTTTCATGACACAGTAATAAGATTATGGCTATGAACTAAACCAACGGTTCTCAACCTGTGGGTTGTGACCCCTTTGGGGGGGTCCAACAACCCTTTCACAGGGGTCGCCCAATTCATCACAGTAGCAAAACTACAGTTATGAAGTAGCAACAAAAATTATTTTTATGGTTGGGGGGTCACCATCACATGAGGAACTGTATTAAAGGGTCACGGCATTAGGAAGGTTGAGAACCACTGAACCAAACAAAACAGAAGTCAGTCCATTTTATCTATTCTTGGAACAGAAGTCGGTTATAAGCTCAGAAGCCTTAGAGCATTTCCCTGCTGAGTATTTATAGTTTGCGGTTAAGGTTTGGCTAACCAAAAGGGCAGCAGTTCAAACCCACCAGCAGCTTTACACAGGAGATGTGGCAGGCTGCTTCCACAAAGATTTTCAGATTCACAGCCTTGGAAACCCAGGAGACAGTTCTACGCTGTCCTACAGGGTGGCCATGAGTCTGAATTGATTCAATAGCAGTGGATTTTATAGTTTCCTACTCATAGATTAAAATGCAGAATTGATGGTGTGAATATTTTTGCTGACTAAAATTTACAAAACTTACTAGCCACATTGAGACTGTGTGTTTTAACTCAACGATTGGCATTCCTGGAGAGGGGTGGAGGAGGGAGTGGGGGAAGTGGAGGGGGATTACAATTTCTATTAAAAGGGGGGGAAAACCCTATGATTTTCAAGATTCTCTCCCTTCAGTTTTAATGTTTATAGTCTTTTTCTAAAATGCCACATGCAACAGGCCTCCTGGGGAAAACAAAGTAAGTTACAGGAGACAAGCTGGGAGAAAACTGTGAGCTGAAAGGACCTGAGGAAAATGAGATACAAGTAAAGGTTAGAATGACATGCTACACGTGAAGTTTATATTCATAAGGCACACATGCTGTCAAAAGAGTATTAATAGTTTTATCCAACTCTGCAAATAGGATTTCTGGGTTTTGACTATCAAATGGTTCAATCCCTAGCATTATTAGTACTTCGGAAAAGAAAGACATCTGAAAACAATGCAACTATTATAGCCACCAACAAAAAAAAAGTGGCAAATCAGTTGACCTCTTCACACACTTGTTAAAATAAGAAAGTATCAAACAAAAACTCACTCAAGGTAACTTTTTATTATGAAAACAGGTAGAAATAAAATAGCCAAACAAGCTTAAAATTTAAGACATGCTTTATCACTAAATAAAAGTACTAACATGCTATTACTTGCTCTGCTGATGATCACACTAAAGCAATTACATCAGCAGTCTACCTGTGAAAATTTCTTCTTCATTTCATCAAAGATATTTTGTCTGCATCTCCAAAACACATCCTATGGTATATAAAAACAAGATGAGTTACAAATTATTTCTTTAAAATAAAAGGAAAGACAAAAAAGAGAACAATTAACCTAAAGATAGTTTTGAAATAGAATCCTTATTAAAGTGTATTTTATTTCTAAATTAATGTATAACTTTTAACCTGTGCCTCAATTATTCTTCTTAAAAAGCAATTTTTAAATTGTAAATTAAGTGGGCATTTACAAGTCACATAATCATTGAACTGCGCAGTTAAAACTACTAACCAACCGCCCCCCAGTAGTTTACCATGCCTGAATTACACTTTAAGTGTAACTGACAATTTACACTATTGTTATGAAGAATAATATTTGTATGAAAAGGTTGCAATTAAAGTGGTGGTGTCAGAATTGTGTGTAAATCAAATGTTCTTCGATAAATATTTTGAGTTAAAGAAACTACAGACATTTCTAATTTAGCTAGTTTGTAAATTTGGATTTTTCACATGAGAGATAATCTTTTTTTGTGGGGGGAGGTGCGGGGGGAGAGATAGTCTTAAAGTAAGGCTACCTAACATTACTTCCTCCCCTTCTTTTAGTAAAAAGTCCTTCCTTATCATAATTAGACAAACATAATTTAATAATAATTAAAATAACGAATAATTAAAACAACCAAGAGTTTAATTCCTTTAAAAATCTTGGTCTTACATCATTCTACACTTCTTTTATGCATCCCCCCCCTTTGGTTATTAAAAAGAAAACAACTTACATTGATTTACAACTGATTTTTATCATTCACAGTAAATGGAGTATTATTTAACATAAATGAGAAAAATACACAAGACTTGTTTTTACAACAGAAATATATTGTAATGGCAGTACATAATTTTTTTTAGTACATAATTTTTTGAGAAGCAATTCTAACATAATCCCTATAGCAATTGTTAACCACTTAAAATACCTCTTACTACAGCCCTCACCATCACATGCATATTTTATCATATATATTATTCACCTTTAGTCAAATAGAATCATTTTATATCCAATTATTTGAAATGTGCTTCTTGTCCATCAATACTCATCTAATATTTAGTTTAAAAATTAGTGTTCCACTATATAAGCGGTTCTCAACCTGTGGATTGCAACCCCTTTGGGGGTCGAACAACCCTTTCACAGGGGTTACCTGATTCATAACAGTAGCAAAATAACAGTTATGAAGTAGCAACAGAAATAATTTTATGGTTGGGGGCATCACCACAACATGAGGAAGTGTAAGGGTTGAGGCATCAAGAAGGTTGAGAACCACTGCACAATATAGACAGCCTGTAATTGACTTGCCTAATCTATTACCTCCCTGGTAAAGCAATGGTCAAACATTCAGCTGCTATCAAAATGCTAGTCGTTTTCTCCAGGAGAGACAAGATCTGAATCTGCTTCGGTAACTAGGAAACCCTATGCGGCTTCATCATCTATAACCACTATGAGTTGGAATTGACTGGATAGCCATAACAGCAACAACGATCTAATAATGGGCATTCAAAACACCAGTTGACAAGTCAGTTCTAACTCATAACACCATGTGTGTCAGGAGACCAGCGCTTCTATGGGTTTTCAATGGTTGACTTTTTTGAAGATCACCAAGTCTTGCTTAAATAGTAACTCTGGGTAGATGCAAATCATCAACAGTCATAAGCTTTAACTGTAGTACCCAGGGACTAAATCTAATACATTTCCAAAACTCAACCAAACACTGCCATCAAGTTAACTGACTCATAGTGACCCTCTAAGGCAAAGTACCACTCTTTCAAATGCTCACTATAGCTAATATGCATCTTACATAAATGTTACCTTAAGAAAATATCTCTATGTCAACAATCACTAGATCAATGAGTGTGCACTTATCTTTAGGATTTTTGATGCATGATGCAAAAAGACTGACTCTCCCACAAATAAGAAATGGACTACAACTATACTACCCAGTCACATGGACAGGTTCTGTGTAGATGTCCCAACCACAGCCCAATGAGATTCTAGCTGACAACCAAGATACCCCTCTACACATGTGAGTTTGGATGGTTTTAGTTCCCAGACTTTGAACTGTCCCAGCTGATACGTAACAAAACAGAAATAATTAGTTCCAGCCCACCCTTATTCCAAATGCAAATCTGAGCAAAATTAATGTTTGGTTGTTTTAAGTCATTAGGTTTTGGGTTACTTAAAGGAAAAATAATTGCTACGATTTGGTTCCCAATGAAGTTTTTCTTTCATCTTCCTATTTAAAATGCTAATTTACTGTAAAATTATCTCAGGACTCTTCTTTTCCCCTTCGTGCTTCAGTTTTTTTCTACAGCACTTACAGTGATCTAAATTATAGAGAAGTAAATATGGACTGGCTCTGGAACTTGTAAATATTACCTATATTGTAAAGAGTCTTTGCAGATATGATTTAAGGATTTTGAGATGAGATTATAGTGGATTACCCTGATGTTCTAGCCCTAAATGCCATCACAAGTACCCTTAAAAAAGAAGCAGACACACACCAGAGAAGACAAAGATTTGAAGATGCTGGCCTTTAGGATTGCAGTGATACGTGACAAGCCAAGCAATGCTGCCAGCCACTAGAAGACGATGAAAAAGGTAAGGAATTTCTTTTTCCCTAGAGCCTGTGGAGGAAAAGTAGGTCTGCTGACTCCCTGACTTCAGCCAAGAGATGTGGGAAGTCTCATTTATGGCCTCCAAAATTGTGAGAGAATAAATTTCTGTTGTTTAAACCACCAAATTTGTGTTAATTTGTTACAATAGCCACAGGAAAGAAATACAGAAAATTAGAGAAAAGAGAAAGAACAAAGTGACGGGGGAAACCATAAAAGTACAAAATACTCCTAATTAAAATAGGTATAAATATTTGACCTACTAAGATGACAAACACTACAAGGCTGTACTTTACAAGGAGCTGGGGTTTAGTAGAAACTAAAATGCTGCTAGAGTTGCCCTCAAGTCAATTCAGATTTGGGGCAACCCGATGTGTGACAGAGTAGAACTGTGCTTGCTCTACAGGGCTTTCCAGGCTTTAATCTTTTGGCTTAAAAATCAGGTCTGACTTCAAAGAAAACACATTAATAATGGGTTCAAACCACTAACCTTTCAATTACTAAAGTGCTTTACTTTGCCCTCCCCCCACCCAGGAATACAGTGAGATGTTGTTTACTAGATACTAAAACATAAAGACAATAGATGCTAAAAAGGCTAAAGAATGAAAAGAATGTGTGAAAACTAGTCAAGAGAAACCAGTTACAGCTCCTTGGAACTAAATAAAGCTATACGCGGAAGAAAAAAAAAGTTACTAGAAAGAAGTTCATAGCATAATGGTAGAGTCCATTTTTCATAGATTTAGCAATTTTAAATGTGTAAGCATCAACTACAATACTTCAAGTATACAAAGCAAGTATTGATAGAACACTGAACACACACAAATGAACAACCAAGTCTACCTTTAAAAATGCTGTAAGTTATTCACTGATGAGGTAAAATTTCCATTATGTACAAGGTGTGATGGTTAGGTTTTGGCTAGGTCAGGAATCAGGATTCTCAATGGTTGGCAGTTAAGGCCTAGTATTTCCCCATGGTGTTATCTAATCAAATGTAATCAACTCCATAAGAGGATCTGCTATGAGCAACCGATCAGTTGTAAGAAGATTAAGGTGGAATGCAATCCCTTTTTCATGTCATGGCCCTGTTGCAATCAAAAGGAAGCATCTTTGGAATTGTGGTCTGACTCCTACATACGTAGACACTGTAGAGAAGGTTAGTTTGTTTCTTGCTGAGTCTGAATCTTACATCTGGCTCATCAACCTCCAGTTCTTTGGATTTTAACTAAGGCCTGCCATTATTGCCTACCAACCCTGGGTGCCACCAGCTGACTGTAATCTGAACTGCTCACCATGGATTCACCCACCTCTGCATCCACCAGTCTGTGGTCTGCCTGCTTCATCTTTCTGGTTCATCAGCCCCTATACAGTAGCTACAAAATTTAGAGGAAGGCTCCAGCTTAACATCTGACCCATGAACTTGAACCAACTTCTCTAATTGTAGGCCATTTTCTTGATATACATTTCTCTTTATATGTATGTAGATAGATAGATAGATAAATACATATATATGCACTGCTGGTTTTGCTTCTTTAGAGAACTCAGTCCAATACACAAAGAGACTCCAACCAATAAGTTTGTGGGAAAATTGAATTAAAAAATGAAATTTATCCATGAACTTTTTAAAACCCTAAGAAATAATGTTAACCTCAAAATATGTCCTATAGTATCATTTTTTTAAAAAGACTATTAGAGAAGGGCGGGAAGAGAAATGTACAGAAATAATGTAAAAACAAACATCAAAATGTTAACAATTTTGTCTTTGAAGAAAATAATTAGAGGTGATTTATTTGAAGAATTTAAATGTAAGTAAGAAACCTGACAACTTTAGCTAACTTACGTAGACTATTATTTTTAAAGTGTGTGTCCTATTTCCACTCTCCCAACCAAGTAAGACTTATGAAAGAACAATTACAAGAAAAAGAAAAGAATTTGCCTAGGCAGCAGTACACATGAAAAAGATTTGGGTAGTTTTCAAGAGCAGAGATGTGCAAGGTCTGTAGTTGGAAACTAACAGCTGCTCCTTGAGAGAAAGAAGGTGCTTCTTACTCCCATAAGTAGTATGAGACACTCATCACCAGGGCAGTTCTACCACCCTGTCCTAAAGGGTCACGATGAGTTGGCAGCGACTCAACGGCAGTGAGGTTTTTTGTTTGACACTCTCAGTAAGGGACAGTTAAGTGCTCAGCTGCAAACTGAAAGTCTGGCAGCCTGAACCCACCTAGCAGGTCCATGGCAGAAAGACCTGTGATCTGCTACCATAAAGATTGTTGTTGCTGGGTGACGCTGAATTACTTGTAACTTACAGTAACCCTCTGTACAACAGAAAGAAACACTGCAATACTTCGTGCTCTTGCACCATCCGCACCATCATCGCCAT